TTTCTTCTAGTGTGCACCTTAGTTTGATTGTTTAGAGCCTCAACCTTATATAACTTCTTCCTTGATTCTGAACAACAAAGCTGAGAGACATTTCAAACAAAAAAGCAAAGGGGAAAATGTTACTAGAGAATTATGTGAATGAAAAATAAAAAATGGAGTCAAAACATATGATGCGGTGGAATGGTGCAGAAGCACCATTCTTACGTTCATATTGAACAACACCATATCTAACCGTTCGAATTCAATTTCGTATCTGATTTTTTTACCGAAGTTCTAAAAGTATTAGAGATATTTAATCAATTTATTTGATTCAAATTTTTATTTATTTATCTTCTGCACAATTTAAAAACAAATATACACCTCAAATTTTAAGTACAAAAACAAATATTAAATTTAAAAAATAAAAAATAAAAAATATTTTCAAACATTAATTATGGTTCAATATGAAGTGTTGAAGAATACTTGTGCATGTCCACATCTTATAAAAAAAGTTATTTCACTTTCAAAACGCGCAAAGAGAATTGTGAGAGATGTGAATGGGTGGGGACCGAACAAACTTACTTGAGCAAGGCACGCTTGCTTTTTTGGTGAAATCAACCAAAATTGTCTGGTCTTTGCTTCCCCAAAATCTACTTTGTCTGCTGAACATCGGCAAGAAGAATTCTGGAGAGACAAGGGGGAGTCTCAGATGATGGATAAGCATTAATCCTACTGTGTTAAAGACATGAAAGTAGGAGTATGAAGAAGGGCATATATATATATATATATTTATATATATATATAGCAGTAGTTTTGAGAGTTAAATGTGAACAACTTAATTTTTGAGCAGCGAAAGGATGAGATTTAGAAAGTGTATGTCTTTTTTAAATTTGTTTAGAAACCATGCCTCCATGACTTGGAAATGTTTTATTCTCGTCTTCTTGCTTCTCATTCTCTCTCCTTCATCTTTACCATCCTTTGGAGGCTGGGGATGTTGTATTTCAATCTAGGACTCACTTCACCCTAGTCGAATGTAAAACCCAAATCCATAAACTCTTTCAATTCCTCAAACTCAAGTGTATTAGAGTCTTGCCCTCCTTTTTATAAAAAAAAGTACAAAATTTTAGGTTCCAATTATGGAGCACTCCAGTTTGGGGGAAATGAGTGCGTGCCTCCTGGTATACACTGCACACCACCAGAACCGCTCATGGTCAGTGCTTGAGCGGAGGTAGTCACGTGAGAGAGAAAGAGAGAGGTTTGGGGAAGAGAGAGAAAGGATGGGTATCTTTGGGGAGACTCAAGAGAGAGAGAAAGAGAGGTTTGGGTAAGCGAGAGAGAATGAGTTTTAAAATGGATATGTTTTTTTAAAATTTGTTTAGGCTAAGAAATAAGTTTAAAGTAGGTAAAAATTATTCTAAGAGATTAAAAAATATAAAACATAAGATTTTTATACTTCAAGATATGTTTTGAAACCATAGATCTATGGAGAAATGAAACCTAAAAATACAGTATAAAGAGATATTTTCCCTTGTGACATGGTCCAACATGTGAACGGTGCTTATGCACGTCGACATCTTATAAAAGAAAGGTACCTTCACCTTTATTTCACTCTCAAAACGCGCAAAGAGATTGGTCAAAGATGTGAATGGGACCGAAGAAACAATCTTGTGGAAGGCATGCTTGCTTTTTTGAACTAAAATTAAATTGTCTGGTCTTTGCTTCCCCAAAATCTAGTTTGTCCGCTCAACATCTGCAAGAAGAATTGTGGGGAGAGAGAAGCGGGGGAGACTCAGATGATGGTTAAGCATCGATTCTACTTGCACATCAATATAGAGACATGCAAATTGTGTTTAAGCCATGAAAATACTAGAATGAAGAAGGATATATATATATATACATATATATAACGAAAATGTATGTGAACCAAGCATTTGTGTTGTGAGACACCCGGTTCGATTTGTGGGATGTTAGTTTCGAATCAAGATGCGCGTTAGCGAAATGGAATTCATGCTAGGCTAGCCAGTTGTTTGTTGTTTTCGAGCTGTAGTTAAGTGAATGTTTTGACTGAATTTTGAAATATTTGAAGGTTGCTTTATAAGGCTTAGGCTTCATAAAAACAAAGTAAAAAGCTCACCTGAAATCCTCATTTGAAAAGTGCTTCGAGCAATAGAAATCTCTATGATGGCTCTAAAATCATTTTTTTATACCAACTTTGAAATTTGCAGCTCATAAAATGTTACAGATCTGTAAACACTTAATTTTAGGGTGAAATGGACGGTCTAGATAATGTGTTATAATATATACATTTTTAGAGCTTGAAATCCTAATTTGTTTTTACACCCATAGTGGTCAAGGTCGAGATGATCGATTTGAAGGTTTTCCAACGTCAAAACTGCAATTATCAATGAGTTTTGAGGTGATGTTTTACTTATTTTGACATGGCTACATCCTTATCAAAATATTTTCTATATTTTAAAGGAAAAAATGTATATAAGGTTTCAACCTTATCCTATTGAAGTAAGGTGTGTCTCAAAATCCTCTAGAAGAGAATGTTCTAACATTGGAGAACCATTCAGTCGATCATCTCGACCTCAAGATATGTGAATATAAAGAAAAGAAGGAATTTCAAATCTTAAAAATAATGCATCTTGTAACTAGTTATCGAGACCATCTATTTTCAAATGTTTATATATATGTTTGATCCATACCATTTTTTAAATTTTAAATTTCATATGTAGGGATAAAAATATATTTTAAAACCATAATAAGGTTTCTAACACCAGAATTACATTTTCAAGCAAACCTCATCCTATTTTAATGCAATGTCACTCAAGTCTTCCAACCCAAATTCATTGGCAGGCCATTTGGCATTTGGCCACAATTGTTTTAATATAGGTCGGAGATTGTTAGTATTCTAATGTTGTTTTAGAGCAACTTTGCCTTTTTCTCTCTATTTGGCGAGACACTGCTGTTTTTGCTCTTTGGCCAAATAGAATCTACAAAATTGAGAAATGCAACAAAGATTGAATGGTTCTAATTTACTCTTTAAAATAGAACCTATTTGGCCAAATAGAAAATGGGCATTCGTAGATTCGTCTAAATTACTCCTTAAAATTTGTTCTTTGATTTTGAAAATAAACCAAACCAAAGTCAAGTAAGTACCGAAGAAAGATTAGTACTAAGACTGTTTTGGAGCCTTAACTTGAGCATGCAACAGGATAAATTTTCACGATATTTTACTTTGTTTAGTTGTATCTTGGGTGTGTGTACCTCATGACTTGATCGCATTTTCAAGTGGGAGGAATTTAATACATTGAAGACAAGAACATTTCATGCCTCTAGATCCATTGTTGATGCAAAGAACCGATTCAATCTTGAGAAGTTCGAAATTTTGCCCTATTTCGAAATTTTGCCCTATTTCAAACCAGGTGTTGCTTTCTTGAGGCTACTCTTGTAGAAGAAATTACCAGAGTGGGAAAATACAGTATTAGAAGAGGAAAGACGAGTAACATCCGACAACCATGCTTATAGGCTTAAAAATGCTCAAATATAAGTTTACCTCAAAAGTAATAATCTTCTACATTTACCAAATAAAGGAAAAGTACCATGTTTTCTTCTGACAAAACCATGCAGATTTTATACAAATGGAAAATAATTTCTTTGACGATATAACAATCGATTACAAATATAGTTTCCAGAAACCCAAAATAAGGGTGTGAAAGCGCAAAGAAAACCATCAAAGTTATAAAATTGGGTGTGTTTAATATGGCCATTAAGATACAATCATAATGGCGAAAAAACAAAAAACCAAATTTATCTTTGGCTTTCACACAATCAAACACAAATGGATGTGGTCGTTTTTGTCTTTCATTGCGAGGGTAGCTTATACATGGAAGAGATATACCTGGTGTGATAAAAAATGCTGAACATGGAATTATATGCCATTTGCCAGTAAGTTTTCTCGCTACCATGGGAGCATACTGTCTATTTGCAAACCCCTAGTAGCAGTGTTTTTAGAAGACTAAATTTTAGGCATGTACCTAGGCTAACCTGCGAAAATCAAACTCAAACTCTGTATGTGTCTGGAAAAAAAAAAAGTCCAAGATCAATTTTTGAAGTGTGAGATCCAAATGTAGAACAACTCAAATGCAAACTTTTTTTTTTTTACCCTTAAAATAATCATTCGATGATTCATAGGTGGATTCTGAAATTTAAGATAAAGAAACAAAGAGATTATCTACCAATAGACCATTTTGTTTCGTACATGAAGGTCAAAATCATTATCACTCATCAGATCTTAAATTAGATAGCTTGGGGTGAGTCACGAAGTCCCATAAATTTTTTTTTTTTGGAACCGTGTCCGAGATAGAAGGTCTTTTTATAGCCAATCCAAAAAACAAATAACATTCAAATATGAAAATGTGCGGATGACCCAAAATACGTGAGTACAGGATTTGTAGCGGAACGACGCTTGATGGAAATAAGCTGACAAGCCTATATTAACAAGTCACCCTTCAATTTAATTTCAGAAAAAAGTTCATGTTAACCTTATACTATAGAAATAAAATACACCTCAAAAACCCACTAAAACATATTGTTTTGACCATGCAAAACCCTTCAATTAATCATCTTGACCTCGATATGTCTTGCAAATAATACATATTGTAGCACATTATCAAGATTATATATTTTCAAAGTCGTCAATTGCTTATAGATCTACTTGATTTTCACCATTTTAGAAATTTCATGATTAGGGATAAAAAATAATTTTTTCGGCCATCACAAAGTTTTCCTGCACCAAAATTATATATTTTTAGCATAATGTAGAGGTACGTCTTACTTGGATTGTTTAAGGTTGACACTTTATACAAACCATACCCTTTAATTTATACTTCAGACTCAAGGGTTTATCCAAGTAATTGGAAAATCAGACCACATTACCTACCGGACAAGCTTCAACAGTCTTCTAAATTACTAAAACCGCACCGCAGAGCAACAAGCAGTAGAAAATGGCCCCCAAGTATCTTTTAATTCTTTCCATGCAAACCTGACTCTTTTTCTCATTGAATTCAGAATAAATATACATTAAATTACATTTCAAAGTAGAGGATGATGCTGAGAACATTAGCTTATAAAAAACACCCAGTTACTTTCGACAGTTTCATTATGCATACTGCGCCCATCTTGAGGCCATACCACTCATTGAATAACTAAAACAAATCCGATCACCAACAGGCAAAACACAGTCTTTGACTTCATTAACTGTACAGAACAATGATCGCATTGAACTTGTGGCTGATACAAACTTCAATCTCATTTGTCAGGTAACAACAACATTTTCCAGCTGAGCAGTTTCTGCCACCATGGGTGGTCTCTTAACAACTGCTTCTTGGGTAACTGCTTTTTCAAAAGTAGGAATAGACAACCTCTTCACTTTTCCTGAGTCAGAAACATGGTGAGATCCTTTACCATTTAAAGAGGGGTACTTATGGCATGTGGATGCTCTTATTGCTAATGGTTTTGAGCTTTCGCTACCTGTTTGTGCGATATGAATTTTCTTAGAGACAGTGATCCTGCTTTCCCATGGCCTAACTGCAATCCAACGCTCCATCCAGCTCCAACCCCAATTAGGTTTGCCCAGTTCATATCCAACTTGAAACTGGTTTGGCCTCGAGTTTGCCCTCCACTGGAAAAAAAAAGTATAGTTTCAGAAGGGTATAAGAATTGATTCTTCCTTTAGTTAGTTAAGGCAATAGTATATACTTGATGGGAGAAAGCATAAGCCATCGCTCGCTCACGCTTAACAGCTGCTTCTTCTCTCTGGCGCAGCCTAGCTAAAATTTCCTCCATAGTTTCAGAGCCATTGCACCATTCCACCTGCTCAACTGTCAAACCGTTAACAATAGATGATTATGGAAGACAAACCCCATACAATTGAATGAGTCACTTGAAATAACCCACGAGCTTTACAAACAGAGATTTAGTTATAATATTTAGCGACTTACCTAAGCCAAGGGACACACCATTTATTTGTTTTTGAAATGGTAGGGATACACCATTTACTAATCAGTTTAAGTCGAATTTTGACAAAAATAATTAATTCATATAGGATATATACAATACATACACAGAAAGATGTGACAAAGAACAAGCCTCTTATCCCAAAATGCAAATTGAATAAAACAGTAATATTGAGGGAATGGTATGTGAAGTTTCTGCTTCAAGAGTGCAATAGTCAAGGTAATTGATGCTTCTACAACTAATAACAATTAATTTGTTGGTTGGTCCTTTAAAAGCTAAGGACAAAAATAGGGCAATGGTAACAATCAAGAAGTCTAAAGAACCAATACATTAATGCAAAATAATTTCAGTCAGGCGATGGCTTATAATCTTGTGAAGTACATGGAGTGTGTATGCAAGACATAGGAAGGCAAGTGGAGATTATTAGGAACTTGGGATTTCGGATTGGCATTTCACTGGTTAAGGTGTTGAACATTGCAGCACTAGATCCAAGTACTAAGAAAAACAAGTGAAGATTGAAGCTTGGGGAGTGTACAGTCTGTTAGCAAAGAGTCTTACTAATGGTGTGATGTAAGCAACAAAATAACCTATTCTAAAGAAATTAGGTAAGAAGATATACATATGGATGCAGTCTGAAACAATTGGGCAAGTTGCTTGAGATTTGACGATAAGGAATGAAATGGCACAATACATGTTGAACCAAGACCAAAGCAGTTCGTAGGAAAATGAGGCATACAAAAGAAGATTGTTATGTAAAACATACCCCATTAGCAATGAAGGCAGTTGAGAAGCGTGTCGTTTTGACATGACACATCACTTTGCAAAAAATTCAGCTAGGGCCTTCTCAACATTCAAGGGAGAATGCGCAAGTTCACACTCCAAATTCTAATCAGAGTCCCATAGAAAATTTGCAAGTTTGAAGCCTAAGAGAGAGGCCCCAACACCAACACTCATAGAAGACATTGCATCCATGATAATAAGTTTTTTTTTTAAAGTAGAAGATGTTTTTTTTTTGGTAGTTCGGTGGGGAAGACAGGCCCCTATCTGTTTTTTCATATAGTTTAGGAGTTATTTTTTTTGAAGCTGTTAGTAATTTAGAAAGCACAACGTGGTAACTAGGGTGCGGGGGTCCTACCACCACGACCCCAGCCCCTTTCCCATCCATCATAATAAGATGATACTAAAAGCTTGGAAAATCAAAGGGAGCCTTCCATTACGGCCAAATATCCTTGCATAGTTGAGTTCAATTATGAATATCATAAATGGAAACATCTTGTTGGTTATGATTTAATTAGAAAATGTAAACATATTAGACATGAAAGAAAATTTTATATATGGTAATGGATGTTAGAATATGGGGCTTCATTAGTGGAAACAAGAAGACCGATATCATTCCCTGCTCGGCTTTATATACAGCAATTCATTGCCAGGATCATTAGTTGATGGAGGCTTTAAATTCCTATCAATATAAACTTCAAGGTTTCTGCCCTCAAGAGAACTTTGGCACAGTAAACACCATATCGTAGTTCTAAAACCATCAAATGGGAAGCAAGACATGACAAGTGATGGTAGGATTCATGGGACAAAAAATATATCCAAAAGATTATTTTCTTTTTTTTCGTTTTATGATACAAAATGACTAGTAGGATTAAATAACAACAAAAATTATAGGTTCTGGACAGTAATTAAGTAAAACAGAGTAATCTTAAAATGGCTACTAGGTACACAACAATAAAAAAATAAAAAGGCTTTTATTGCACGATGGAAAAATAATGAAATAACTTGATACTCTATGGTATCCAGGACATGATATTGCATTAAATAAATGCATAAAGGAATTGGTATCATATAGCTCAGCCTTAGGTAAACTTTAGAATCTTATCCACATATAATAAGGTTTTTTAATCCTAACAAGCCCTGGGATCTGATTATTAGAGATCCTTAGAAATCAGTACAGAGTCACACTTCGTTTTAGAAGGGGGATGTGAAGATGTTTCAGTTGGTCTCTAAAGTGTGCCACATTATCAGAGCAGCAGTCATGTTTCTAAGTGTGCTCAGCATAACCATAGCACATACCTGAGGATTTCATGTAACCTTGTATCTTTCTGATGATTCAGTGATTCTTTGATAAAGGCCATTCTTTTTTGAGAAAGACAAAGGCCATTCTTCTTAAAACAAAAAGTCCACGAAACAAACTCTTTGCTCAACTCAATCTACAACTGGCTAGAAAGAAACCTAACAAGCATAAGTACTCTCTCTGCAAATGATACACAAAAATATAGAACAGAAGGCACTTTTCCAATAAACATACGCATTAAATCTAAAATTTCAATCTACTTCTGGAAGCAAGCAGAAGTGAGGGATAAAAAAGTCAGCATATCTAAAAGAAAAAAGAGATGCCCATTTTAGTGGTTTTCTTAGAAAGATTTTGATTTCAGAATGGGTGTCGAAAAGCCACTCTCCGGATACAGAATCCAGAACTCCATTCAAGCCGTTTTTCATTGAAGTTACAAGCACAAAATCTATTAGCTCAAGTTGCAAGAATGAAGAACTACAATCTTATGCTCGCTTCATACAAAATGGTGTTCCTATTTTAGCAACAGTTAAGGCATGCACATCTGTAATCATAGCATGCAATATTATGTAGGTGCCACTACAGTTGTGTATCACCACTTTATATATTGTACATTTTCCATAAAAGGTGATCTATAGATTCAGTTCTTCATCCTATGAATGTTAGATTATGGAGAGCTACCTCTACCTGGAAAGGCAAAGGAGATTCATATGAATGACAACATAAAGAGAACAAATGCAATTTATATGCACAATCATACCAACACAGTTCAGTCACCATCAGGTAACCAATTCAAAGATAGCCACTCCTACCTCTAGCTCATGGAGCTTAGCTTCAAGTTTTAACATGTTGTCATGTTTCTTGCGGCGAAGGCGGCCTTCGGTAACCATACATTCCCGACGTTCTCTGACATGGGACTGTACTTTATTCCATAGCTTTAGATAGCCCAGAGTAATTGGTGCTTGTCTCTGAACAGTGTAGCCCTGGGCAAGAAGTTGAAATCTAACAATTCCTTTCATACGATGTAGGGTCTTCCTTGCCTGGCATAGGAAACATTACATTATCATGGATGCACAACAGGAAAAAGATAAAATAAAAAACTAAATTTTTTTAAGAACTCAAAATAAAAATAAAAAACCAAAATATCTTTAAGAATTTGAATATTTATAAAGGAACACGTTTCCAAGTGGATCTCTGAACACTTCGGAACTGCTTCCACATATCCGAGATGCATCACTTAGATTATTTCTAGATTTAAAATTAAATTGCACCATAAAAAATAAAAGTCATTTGGCATTGGGCTCACACATCAGACTTACACCAGCACAAAAATATAAATATGAAGTCTTAAAAAAGAAAACAAGAAAACTCTCACATGATAAACCATAACCATCAAACCATGAAGAAATTCCCAGTATGATAGCATTTGGCTGATAAGAATCAAGTAACAACAAAACCAGTAATTGGTTAGAAGCATCATATGATGGGAGGAGCTCTCATCAACAAACATGTGAATTCAGAGATGTGTCACTATTCAGTACTAACAGGTTATAGATGCATTGGTGAAAAGGAGAGTGCTGTGCCATGCAACTTGAAAATTCTGAGTTCTTTCTTTTTTTTCCTAATAATTAACTACTCTGGGTGGTTTCTTTCTGATAGTTCTCTAGTAAAATGCACATGACCTCTTCTGTGAATGACACAACAGGCATACATACTATGAAGGCAACACATAGGTTGGATGTGACCCACACTGTCATTCTTGTTCTGAGGTCAAAGCCACTCGAGACCCATAAAGGTGTCCTATGACCAGGGAATGAAGTTATCTATGTAGCCAAAACTCAAAAAGTTGTGTAACAATGCTAGACACTGTAACAGGTGTAGTGTATGATATGAGGACTTGACACGAGTTTTGTTTTTGTTTTTTCCTCCTCCTTGATGGGTGTGGGGGTGGAGGAGGGGCGGTGGGCAACACACACCTGAAAATTTCTGTTTAGTGACACGACTGTATAATAAAATAAGTGCAATAGGAGAAGCCCAACGCATGTTGAGGTGCACAGAACACCAACATGCTATCTTTTCCTTTAATAGTCCGATGCAACAATCAGGTTCCGTTCTCATGCTAGTTAAGCTTGGGCCACTTTCATTATTCCTAGTATTGAGACAGCTAGTGCCCTTAGTGTTGGTTTCTTAGATATATGTGTGTGTATCAGATTGATATGCTTGATTGCATACATGTCAGCTCTCCACTGAACTCAATCTCAAGCTGCTTCATGATGTTAGAGTTCTCAATGGATGGTTCTTCTCATAATTACCATATTAATGGTGCATTTACACTATCGTGCTGTTACTCATCCAGATATACGATAATGATAGGATCTCCTCTTCATGCTTTGCGAAGTATATTACTCCGCATATCAAGGGCACAATTACTAGCAGGCTTCTTTTCTTAACACCCTTCCTCTTTCAATTACTGGTTTATTCATAAGTTCATTCATCTGGCTCTACCACATAGGCATTACAGAATAAAATAGTGCATATTCCTAGGTCCTAATTCAGACATATGATGTACTAAGCAAATCAACATTATATAGTCTAGAGTGGATTACAAGTCTATTGAATCAATAAATGTAGAGATTAATTGATTAATAGTTATTTTACAGGATCTTGGAGTTCAATCATACTCTGGTGATGCTATTAGAGCCAAATACAATGCAGAAACCCTTTTCTATGTGCTCATACCAACCACATGGGCAGATGAAATTTTATCACCTCATTCACGAAAGGTTGTCTTTTGTGCTGTATGCGCTGTTAATTTTTAAGAATCTTCTTTTTATTGGGTGTTTATGTTAAGTATCAGAACCAGAATTTTGAGATTTTCATGGAAGTTACTTCCAAAAAGTAGTGTCACAAAATACCTTCAGAAGAAGCATCAAGAGAGAAGCTGGATAAGGTGCAGCTAAATTTATTTTTTACTCAAGATGTACTATCTGTTTTGCACAATTTGTACTTATTCTACCAAATGCTATTTCTATAATTCACTCATGCAAGCGTGCATATATGTGTGAACTTTGAGTTTATACAAAGTAAAGTAGTATCAAGAAAGATTTGACAGTCAACAGTTTCACAAAAAAAAAAAGTACCAAGAAAGATTTGATCTCACAAAAGCACACAAAAAAAGAATATTTCTGTGCATTACTCTGTACCAGATAAGCACGAAAGGCAGTTTGAATAATTATAGCTGCTTTCTCCTTGATAGAATCATCAATAACTCCATTGGGCCCTCTTTCTGAAGCACCACTTGGAAAGAGTTTGGACCCTTTATTGGAACTGTGTCTCCATTTAAAACGATTTGATTTCTTGGAACGTGAAGGCCCCTGCTCAAGTAAAGGCATCAGTGCTGAATATAAGGACCACAATAATTGTACGAAAGCTTCATAGTCATGAAGAAACTTCGCAATTATAAACAAGGGCAGATATTGCAACTTGTTTTATTATAATTGCTGAGCGGAAGCCTTTGGGTGTTAAAGAAAGAGCACAGTAACAATAATTAACAGCCATAGTAAGTTTTATCACTACAGCCATACATTTCCTACTTAACAGATCTGCCAAATTAAATACCCTACTCACTACAACACTTCAGACTTCAGAGTCTAACAAAACTTCAGGTCCTAAATTCTGGATCTCTTGCTCTATATTAAAAAGTTCGGCAAAATTTCCATATTGGCAAGTCCTTAATGCATTTGAGGGCCACATCGAGCACCTTGTGGATGCTCACCATGTTAGCCAAAAGATAAAATGAGACAACCAAAACAAGGCCTGAGACTCATTGTTCACTAGCTTTGTCAGAACTCTATTCCCAAATATTCAGACCTAGTGCCCGGCCAATTCACTGGCAAGTGTCAAATATCCTGCTGAATCTATGCCATGTGAAAAGATTAGTTTAGGGAAAACATTTTCAACCACTCTTGGGTGGATGGCTACATTGGCCCACCCTCTCCCCTTTTGGGGGCCTTAGGGGCATTTGTTTCACCCCATTGGAATACACATCCTCCGGGACTCGGTGAAACAACCCATGAAAAATATTATGAGGAAAGCCCTAGAAAATAGTTCTTATGGGACTCGATAAGCGCAGGCAATCCATTTCATGGTTGGCCAGATCTAGCTCTTTAAGAACTCAAAATCAATTTATTTATTTTTAGTCATTCATCTAGTGACAATGAGGCGATTCACACAATTTTGGATTAAAAGAATAGCCCTAGGGCCTCAATCAGACACCAATTTTTCTTTCTTAAAATAGACAACCCATATTCACTACATTTTCTCTCCTTAGAAAAACCATTTTCAGGTGTTTATTTATTTAATTGTTTACAATCTACAATCTTCTTCTGCAGGACCGAGAGGATGTCTGCACCAATTTTGGGATGAAAAAATATGCTCCTAAGGCCCCCAAATGGGGGAGGGCAGATGCCATTCTGGTCCGCCCTTGGGTGAAACAAATGTTTCCCATCAGTTTATATATGAAACCATTGTGCACTAAATCACATGTGTCTGCTATTTCATTACAAAGAAAAGGGAAATGATAGTCTGTTCACCATGGAGCACCAACTTGGTGCTCTCCATGTCAAAATTCACTTTTGAGGTGTGGGAGGGACCTAGAAAATTTCCAAATCATCCTCTCATCTGCCAAAATGGTTCCATGAAAAAAAAAAGCATTTGGAGCTTGAAAAATGCCCCAAATCCGCTACAACCCTAAAAGAATCCGGGCACTGCACTTTAATCAGCAATAGATCTAGGAGATTTGGAGGTTTGATGGAGCTACAAATAGAATTCAAAATTTTGAGGAGACTCATTTTAAGTAAGTTTAGATATTTTTGTAAGTAGTTACTGAGATTGGGAGGAACATCAAGTTTGGTAAACAGGGAAGAACACAATCATTTCCCATAACAAAACACATCATGTTCCATAAATGTAGATGGCCATTACAGTAATTGCCAGTGGCCTTGATGAATCATGCATAAAAATGTATAGAATTATCTCATTAGTGAAATGGATTGATTCATCTCTCTCTCTCTCTCTCTCTCTCTCTCTCTCCTTTGCTGTCAAACACACACAAATGCTGTACCAAGAAAGGGATCAATACTACATCCATCTGCATCCGTGAAATCTAATTATATGTACATTATGTCCATCAAGATTTAATGTTATTGAAGGGCACGTTAGTCTTTATCCTGTTTGTACACCATCGTTGGTTCATTATTGAATGAAGAAAATTAAATGAATTATTATTCCCTCCTTGTTGAATATTATTTTCAATTTGGGATTTAGCACGGCTCTACAGAGCAATCTCATTTGGTGATTTCTAAACTCATAAGTTGAATGACCATATGGCTTGAAATTTCTAGGCCTGGATTCGTCGAGATTTGTTATCTTTTTTTTTTCTTTTGGCTATGCCCAGATGGGTTATTATTTGAGGTAGAGACAGATGTGCTTTTGCAAACTACCATATTATTTATCATTTGAGGTAGTTACAAAAACATATCTTACTTTTGTATTCATGTGAAAGAATATTTGCCACATGTACAATCCAGATAATTTATTGTCTTGTTTTACATAGTCTCATCCCTTATCTCCCTTGCCTAACAGAACCATGAGAAAAGTACAGAAAAGTATGTAGTTTGTGATTTTAAAAAGGAAAAAAAAAATGAAACATGCTTATGTAGCCATTCCTACTATTGGCCACTCCTACTACTGGAATACCTAAGGGAGGTTGAAAGGCCATAAACCACGGAGATAGTAGATAATGTCGTACATTTTGTACCATAAAGAAAGATCTAGGATGAAACCAGGAGGCTCATTGGTGGTATTATTCTTCATTGAACCTGCTTTTCATAAAAATTTGTATGTTTGGTCTAACATTGTTTTGATTCGTTTTGGTTCTGCATTACTTTGATCCAATCCTACAAACTCTTAGGGCATGTTTGGATGTACTCGTTGTCATTGATAATAGACCATTTCAATCAAGTTAATCCTGATAATGAATTATCTGTTGTTCGGTAGTGTTCCTCATAAAATTATATTAAACTTATAGGCAGTTTTATGTATAAGTTTACTTTTTGAAAAGATGTTTTTACTTCATTCAAAGTCATCGTCATCATCATCATCATCCAAACCATATCCCCACCAATGTTCAAAAACTCGGAGGTCCCCGCCCGTGCATTTTGGGGGCATGGGCGTCCACCTAGGAACAAGGGCTGGCCTAGCCCTAAGAATATCACATAATATTATATCCCTAATATTTGGCTTTCCAACCTAAACATTTACAAAATATCAATTTAGCTAAAATTATTCGCAAAATATAGGCCCTAAGATTTGGTTTTTCAATCCAAACATTCACAAAAGATCAATTTAGTTCGAAATATTCACAAATATAGGCCCAAACTGGTAAATATTCACAAAATATTCCAACAACAAGTATTTAAAAATATCACAGAATAGTAAAAAAACAAAAGAATATCAAATCATAACACATTATACAAAAAAAATACCGAAACCTAATTCAAATATTGTAATGCACTAAACTTTTTAAAATAAATTCAATATAGGTCCAAAACAGTAATTATTCACAAAATATTTCAACTACAAACATATAAAAATATCACAAAAGAAATAAAAAGAATATCAACTCATAACACATTATACCAAAAAAAAAATACTAAACCCTGATTCAAATATTGTAATGCGCTAATCTTTTCACAATGAAATCGATGTAGGCTGAAACTGGTGATGTTTGGTCTCCAAAGTCCTCTTATGCGACCACTCCAACTCTGAAGAGTATCGGGAAGTGTATCTTTCGATTTTGAAAAAAAATAAAAAATGTTGAATTTTTTTCGATCTTGATATAAATAAAAAAAATCTTAGATTTTTTAGTGTTTTTCACTCTCTAAAACACACAGAGGGATTTGGGGGTGTAGAATGCCGCCCAAACCTTCTTCCCCCCTTTTTATGTAAAAAATGCCCCTGACCAAGGGCCTATTTCTGCCCTCGGCTAGGGTGAATTGAGGCTAATGGGGGCCAAGGCAATGCCTTGGATGTCTACGTGGGCACTTAGATGCAAGACACCTAAGAAGCACGCTTGAGAGGTGCTTAGACCTCTTGGTCTCCAGGCTGCCTAACCAACAAAGCAATCGAAGTTTTGAGCATTTTTCCCAACTATTTGGTGTCGACTACAAAAATCTTGTTCTGTCATAACACTTTATCAAAGGCCATACCTATCTCGTTGCATAACTTCCTTTGCCCTTTTTTGAGCCTTCTATTTGAACCAAATCATCCCATCTAACAAATGTTGGTCTAAGTCGACCCTGCACATAAGTCTACTTTCCCTCAGCTTATCGCCTATTGGAGCCCCCATAAGTTCCTTGGAACGTATTCACTCCGAAGTCTATCTTATCTTGTCATGCCACTTATTCCATTTAAACATCCTCATCTGAGCTACAGTATTCTATGGATACGGTGTTTCATGAACACACAATATTACATCCCATAAAGCATGGCTGATCTCACAGCCGTCCTATAAAACTTCCCCTTTAGTTTCATTATTATGTGACGATCATATGTATTTCCGAAAGTACATCTTTGAAAGGTATATATGTGTGGAACTCAAGGTAGTAAATTAAAAAAAAAATTCGTTTTCTATTTTCAATATACCTGAATTCCAATTACATGGGCAACTATACACTGCTGCAAATAAAAAATTAAATAAAACCTAGAACCTTTATTTTTACTACTAAAACAAATAAATACCATCCAGGAGCAATAACCAATCTTCCACTATAATTTAAGTACAAAACGTGTCCTTGAAAATTCACAGTAAAATATAAAATATGACCAAAATAATTAATTCAATTGGGAATACTTACTAGATGATGCCTGGAGTCACTCCCATAGGACTTGATACATCCCACACCCAATTCCCTGACCGATGACGTACTTTTGATCTATTAGGTCTTGCTGGAATTTCAGAAATAGGGAAGTTTTTTAGGCAATTCTTTTCAATCGAGGGCTTTAGAGAGTATAGAAACTATTTAGGGTTTGTAGGAACCTTATAGGATCAAATTAAGGCTAGGATTGAGGGTTTATTTATCTCTTTGCTAGTTGTGCCACTTTTCTTCTACAAAATACAGCAAACCCCAAATCTAGGGTTTCATGCACCACCTCTTCTTTTTCTCCTACGGCTGTCGTAACAAATTTTTCTCTAAGTATGTCTTATCTAATTTACCCAGCTCGACGTTAAAATAGATTGATATAGAAAGAAATTTTTCTCCCACTTAGAATAGGATTCCTTCTAAGTATGTCTTATCTAATTTACCCAGCTTGA